TTGTGTTTTAAATCTGCCCTGTGTGTGGAGGGTTTCCGTGGCTCCTGTCCAGTGCTGTGGCCATGTCACTGCCCCGAGGAGGCTGCTGGGAGCACAGCTGGGCTGGGTGGGAGCTGAGGAAGGGCCACACAAACAGTGTCTGGGGTAAAGACAACCAAGTTGTGCTGTAAGGGGCAGTGTGGGCAGTGTTTTAAACATCACTGTGACTGTTAACTTGGCTGAAAGCTTTGCTAGAAGGCAGTGGAAGGCTCGTGCAGGTGGAGGCTGGATGTTGGCTGTCCCTGTTGGGCTGGGGAGTGTCCCGGGACAAGTTCCCCATGCAGAACAGGGTGGTGAGGTGCTCTGGGGTGAACAGTGCCATGTCGCTGTGTCCCGTGCCGAGTGCCCACCCTGAGGGGTTGTGTCTTTACCTTAAAACCACAACCACTCTGCACTGGGTAAGTAAAACCGAATTCAGCAGTCAAGCAAAAAGGTTTGAAGTTGGATAAATTTTCAGCATTTGTGGAAAGACAAATATCCTAACATTGCCGACAGCAGGAGTATGGAAAAACACTGGTAGTGCAGCACCAGCCATGTAATCTCACAGCATCTGAACTTCCCAGACCTGCTCAGCTGTTGGATAACCCTCCATGCAGTAGAACATACCCTGGAGATGTGTCCTGGCATAGAGCACCAGCAGGATTCCATCCAAATGTGTCTCCAGGAGAGCTGTGCTGCTGTGAAGTCTGGAGAAGCTCCTGCTCTGCCATGTGCAGGCAGGATGAGTGTGTGATGCTGTGTCACCTCTGCAGCTGCCATGCAGCAAACACATGGAAAAGCTGGTTTTCATCCAGCACAGCTCATGTTCCTGCTTTCCCCAGGGATGGGCTGGCTTGGGGTGACTGGAGGAAAGGACGTGGGAGTGCTGCCCAGGAGAAGGGCAGGGGGTCAGGGAAGGTGGGCACAGGGGGAGGTGAGGTCTTGGCCATATCCAAGGTCTGATCTCAAACACTGCCCTGGCTTTGTAATGGCTGGTGTGCACAAAAACTACTCGGATCAAAGCCTGATCCGGGGACAACAGCTACTTTTATAATTTGTTGCACAAAGCATGTTGCTCCTTCTGTGGATCCTCGCTGTGCCCACTGGCAGCAGTGCAGCCAGAGGTGTGCGCTTGCCATGTCTCACGCAGTGATCTGCCCTGCTCACTCACAGCATCTTCCCTCACCATACCATCTCATTTGGTATGGGGAGGGAAGAGCCTGAGGCTCCTTGGTGGGATTGCCTTTGCAGGGCTCCTGCTCAAGCCCAAGCCCAGGCAGGAGGCAACACCCTTTGTATTTGTGGTGATGAGAATTTAACAGCTCTGAAAGAGTTACTTGCTTTGGGAAAAGAGGAAATAAATCAATAACCAGCACTATCCCGAGGGGTGCAGATGTCTCTGTCTCACCATCATCAGGAATTTCAGCCTATCGCTTTCAGGGATGCTCCACCTCTGGGTGCCCTTTCAGGAACATCTCAGCCACAGTCCAGCATCTGCAGCACATCTCTCTGAAGGGGCAGGTGGGACAGCACCCAACCAGCAGGACACCTTTCCAGCACTGAGTTTTTGGACTCCCTCTTCAGTTTTGGGCTCTCCACCACACTCTCCAGAGGAGGTACATCTTCAGGGCACCACACTCACCAAAGGAGGTACATCTGTGGGCCCTCCTCTTCCCCCTTGGAGAAAGGAGCCCTGAGCCATCCCCTTTGGGAGAGCTCCCTGCAGGTAATGGGGTCTCCACAGGGACATCTCTGAGGGCAGGTGTATGTTGCCACTTGTGGGTTTGTCTCTTTGATCCATCCCTGTGCTTCGGAACATGTGCAGGGAGAGAGGCACTACTGCTGTGCTTGGCTCCACATTGGCCTCACACAGGGAGTTCCCCTCCATTTCTCCACTCTCCACAGTGAGACTCCTAAACCTGATCATCTCTTTGCCACTGACCTCCTCCCTCCTGCTCTGCACAGCTGTCCCAGGATAATGTTTCCCATACAACATGCCCACCCTTCTTGGCTGGAAGGAGAAGGGTTGAAAGTGATGCCTCTTGTCCTGTTTGCCATGGTGTTCCCAGACCCAGAGCCTTCTGTGTGTAACACTGCTCTGGGAATGGGGGGGCACAGGAAGGTTTCTGGGGACTGTGGCTGCCCCCGGCACAGCCACCTCTGCCTTCCCTTTGGGATAAGTTTTCCAGCTGGCTGTTGTGGTTTTGAAGCATATGGAAACTACATGAGTTGAGATCTCAAACAAATGCTGACATTTCCTTTTGCTAATTCAGCAGAGTCTCTTGTGTTGAAGCATCTCAAAAAGCATTTTCCTCTCAAACCTTCCTAGCAGCGGGACAGCCCTGGGGCCCATATGCCACTGCCAGAGCAGATGCACCTTGGCTGAGGTCCTATGTGCTGCCTCACTGCAGGTCCATCTGCCAGTCCTGTAGCACCTTCAGGATGAAGGAGCAGTTGGCATCTCCTGGTGGGGTAATGGCCAGACAAGGACAGAGCCTGCTCTGCAGTAGGGATGGGATGAGATGGAGAGGTATGTTCACATGAAACTTCACCTGCACATCACTGGCTACTCCTGTGCCACTTAAAATGCCTCCGAAGTCTGCAGTTGTTCACTGCTGCTGTTCAGCTACCTGGTCAGTCAGGTTGCTCACACCTTTAACTGTTTGGTTGAACCAGAACCAAACCCAGTAAATTCCTGCAAAAGAACCATTTGTGTGGGATTTAGCAATGCTGAATTCCCCCTTTAAACGATGTCCCACATGGGAGATGGCACTATTTACCAAGGGGTTTCCAGTGAATTCTTTGTAGATTTTGCTTTTTGCAAGTATCAGCCTTATGAGCCCAGAACCCAAAAAAGGCATTTCACCCACCACATCCCTGGCACCTGCACGTCCTGTTGTGGCAGGAGGCTCTGCTGTGGCAGCTCTTCCAGTTGGGTATCAGAAGAACAAGTCCGAAGTTGCCCCCATGGGTCAAATCATCTCCCGTTTGAGCTGGTGAAAAACGTACTTGGCATTGCTGAGATCAGGTTTTGACCTTCATTGTGAGGAGAAGCGGAATCTCAACCACCAGGTTCATCCTCAAGCGCAACGGAAAGCCCTGGCTGGAGGAAAGCAGGATCATCCCTGGGGTCAGAGTGAGGCTTGAGGTCTGAGGGATTTCCCTTCATGCTGGGGAAGGTCAAAAGTACACCTGAGGATGCGTTTCATGAGTGATCATGCTCCCGACATGGCAGCTGGGGATGGGATGTTTCAGCAGTGACTCAGAGGAAGAAGCTAAATAAACACTTTTTATTTCAAACGCAGGATTAAATTCCTTCATGTCTGGATCATTGAAGGTAAAGCTCCTGTAATCTCCTCGTTGCCATCCCCAGCCTGTCGTCTGGTGGCTGCTGGACCTGCTGTGGCAGTGGCTGGGACAGCGAAGGGATGCGGGAGGGACACAGGAGGTGGCAGAGAGGACAAGAGATGGCCAGGAGCAGAGCTAGACACCAGGACTGCTGCTCTGTTAGTGGTGTGGCTCATGGAGAAACTGGTGAAATTGTCCAGGGAATTCATGGACTGAAGCTGAAGGAGCTGAGGTTTAACCTTGACTGCTTTGCAAGGAGGAGGTGAGAAACAGCACTGTGAACAAAGCAATTGAGAGAAGGAAAACCCCAACCCAAAGCCACCACAGCTGTGTGTGTTCAGATTTTTGCACAGTCCAGAGAACCTTGTTTGATACCAACATCTCTGTGCTGCAAAGTGCCTCTGGCAGCCACACATACCTGCTCCCACCATGGGCTGAAATCCCTCTCTGCTGATCACAGGGGACAAAACATAAACTGGGATCATTCCTGGAAGCTTCCCCTGAATTTCTGTGACATCCCAAGCAGCAGTGAGGGCAGATGTGTGGCACAAGTGTCACCAAGCAAAGCCTTCCCTGTGAGGCTTCCCAGCCTGGGCAGCCTGACCCGAGAAGGGCTGCAGCTCTCCAGCATGGCTGGGCAGCAGGTGGGAATGTGGGACTGGATCTGTGCTGCTGAAACGCTGGCAGGGGTGGCTGAGCTCAGCCAGAAGCACAGGAAAGGTGATGGGACTGTGTGGTTAGGCAGCTTCCACAGAGGAAAATGCCACACAGCTATGAACATCCAAGCGCTGCCTGCAGGAATGATCCTCATCCATGGGAATTGCTTAAAAATGAGAGGGTTTAAAATTGCTTTTGTTGCTTTCTACTTTTTCTTCACTGGTTTTCCATGATGCTCCAGGTAAGTCTCATGTGAGATGTGCTGGTTTTATTGCAGGAGTGATGAGTCCACCCAAAATACAGCAGATGCTCCAGATGTTTCTCCTCTTGGATTTGAACAGGACAGTAAATCCACAGCAGCTGTGAGGTGGTTCAGCTGCCCAGAACTCCTGCAAGAGCTGTGTGGCACTTCCCAGGCTCCTGGAATTTGATGTCATCCTTCTACAGGAGTTTGGAGCTTATGTAATTGATCTTTACCATCCAAATACCTTTTAGAAGTGGTCCTTAATGTTCATATCGATGGGGAAATACTAGGTTAATTGTTGAAGAGCACCAAAAAAAAAAAGGGCTAGCAAGAAATCTACAATATAAAGACAATTTTATTGCCGATAAGCTCTTAAAACTCATTTTTTTTCCTGTTTCAGTAGGACCTTATTCTTCCTGATGAAAATCCGGTCATAGCATCTCTCATTAAAAATAAAATTATTTTGAAATAAATAAATATATAAAATAAATATCATATACATTTTATAAATAGTTTTGTCCTTATGCACAGTATCCATGCTTACATCTGAATAATGTTCCTCGTCCCATTCCCACCCCAACAGCAGGAAGAATCCCACACATCAGGACCAGTCCATGGAGCATCATCCATGTAGCAATCTCCCAGGCTGCTTAAGCAGGGCACCACTTGAAAGGCTTCTCCTTAGCAGGGAACCATCTCATGCTCAGCAGCAGCATCTGCAGCAGTTCTGTAGTCTTTTGTTTTCTTCTCTTAATTTTTAGGTTGTTTTGGGCTGGGTTTTTTCCCACCTGGCGATCAGGTTTGCTCACCTGCTTGTTCCTTTAAGTAACCATAACATTGAATATTTGGCCTCTCTTGTAGCAACCAGGCAAAGAAAGTGAACGAAAATGAAAGGTTACATGTAGGGCTCCCTCCCTTCCCCTACCCCCCCATAAATAACGCACGTTCCATATATGCTGGAAACAAGGAGGAACAGCAGTGTCTGAATTCAATGTAAGTGCTTCCCTAGGTCATCTATGCTTACAGGAATGATGGAATGACTATTAATATAGTGCTCTGGGAAAAAGCTTGGGAGCCCAAGTATGTACACTGACGGGGCAGCTGCAGGAACCATCACCTGTAGTGGAAGAGGTCTCTGTACATGGCAGGGATTTTGGCAGGGTCCACAGGCCGGGGTAGAAAATGAGTGAACTTCTGGTGTCTCTTAGTCCTGTAGCCCTCGCGGGGAGAGCCATCCTTGTTCAGAGCCACATAGTATTGCCGCTCCGAGTCCGGGTGCTTGTACAGGGTCGAGGCATACGTGTTGTACCAGTTCTCCTCAAACTGCTCCCGGAAAACGCACTCCCGTGTCAGCTTCTTCTGCGTTGGGCAGTGGTGGGAGGGGAAGAAAGAGACATTTGTGTCAAAAATTTAACAAAAGAAAAAATTCTCCTCCTTCCTTACTTTATTTTCCTATGGTTTTCCCAGCTGCCTTCACCAAGCTATCCTGAGGACAGGGACTGCTCTGCTGGGGATGTTTCCCCTAGGTGAGCGCTGGAAATGGGCACAAGTCGGGACCTAGAGACCTCTGGACTTGGAGGAGGAAGGAGAGAAAAGGAGAAGGAGAAGGTGAGTGTGCATTTTGCAAAGGTACCCCATAAATAAATCAAACAGGGCCACAGCAAAGCTCTAAACCTGCCAGGCAGGTGCCTGTGCTCAGGGTGGGAGTTTGGAGCTCACTGGGGTGGCTGTGCTGCCTGGTAGGGACAAGTCTTGTGCAGGGGACTGTCACCCACAGCCATGTACCCCCTGTAGCAGCCCCTTCCAGGGTACTGCACACCCCAGAAACACTGTCTCATGTGTGAGAAGCAGCAGGCAGCACATCTGAAGGGTCTAAACAGGAAAACTGGAGAGAGAACTGCTTTGGAAGCTCAGGGCACACAGTACTACACACTGTGATGGGAATGAAAACATTCCCTGGGGTTTCATCTCCGGGAGTGCCTGGAAGCTGTGATGGGAGGCTGGAGCAAGACCAAAAGGGATGAGGTGCAGCACTGGCAATGTCAGACCCTGGGGACAAGTTAGCGTGGTGACAGGTGATGTGGTGAGCACATGCCAGCCCATGGCCCCTGCATGCCACACTGGGCAGAGGGAACAGGTGGCACTGGTGTCACCATGGCCTTTCCCTCCAGCCCTTACAGCCAGGGCTGTCGGCAGAGGCCATTTGATGATTTCATGCCCAGTGTTCCTTCCCTCTCCCTCCCATCTCTGTATGTCAGTACAGGGATGTGCCTGTCTGTGGTGGGGACTGTGGCTGTCCCCCTGCCCCATGAAGACACAGGTGGCTTTGCCAGCACTGCTGTGCTGTCACAGAGGGAACAGGCATCCTACCCCATCCGATGGGGGAATGCTGGGGGCACATGGGGGTCCTTTCAGATGGGCCTGTAAACTGTGTAGGTACAGTGTGTGCAAGGTAGGGAATGTGTCCTATCCATGGCACACGGAGTGCTCAGTAAATGTTACTGCCTGCAGTAAGTAGTGTCAAGGAGCTCACCTGCACTCAGAGCCTGTTTTCAATGTTTTACTGCTAAGTAAATAGATCTCAAGTTGAGCTGTGAACCCTCCAAGAGCCTAGGCCACAGCCCTGGCCATCTGAGACCCAGGGAACCATGAGTTTCTCTTCCCAGATCCGATCCATCAATAAATAGAGACTACGGATTTCCTTCCCCTTGGATGCCATGTACTTGGAACACGTTGGAACCCGATGACTGGCTGAACTCATGTGCTCCTGCTTTGCCCCCATTCACCCATGCCTCACTGAGCTGTTGTGAGTACAGTGTTTGTGGAAAATGTTTGGCAAGTCTGGGGTGATCTGCAAGGTGTGACTGATTCCTTTCCAAGCCCTGGGATGTCCCCACTGAACCTGACACCATACAGGCAGCATGCAAGGTGCTGTCTGTGACTTCTGCTGCTTAGTGGCATTTCTGAAATTGTTGGGAGGCTTTACAGAAACGTTGGCACGAGGTTAACAGGGACAGGCGGAAAAGCCGTGTGTCCCGAGGGGACTCCACGTGTCGCTGCAGGGATGACTGGCTCTGGCTGGATCAACACACGGATCAGGCAAAATTGGCACAGAGGGAAATAATAAACTTGCTGAAAATTTAAAAATACCGCTGTACTGTAATCTCCCAAAATACCATTGTAATGCTAATGCTGTCGTCAGGCACTGTTTTATGGACCTTTAATTAAGAATACTGTAGTGGCTTTTGAGTTTGAAAAGCCATCATTGTACAACCCACGTGTCCCAGATTTTAAAACTCCAGGGTTATTTGGGGACCTGGCTCGTGACTCCAGCACAGTCTGGAGCAGCAGTTTGACTGTGTCCTTGCAGCATCCTGCCTGGTGCACAAGATCACAGAATGGTTTGAGTTGAAAGGGACCTTAAAGATCAATCTCATTCCAACCCCTGTGCCATCATGGGCAGCGACAGCTCCCATGATTATGTCTTCAGGTTAATTCTATTTCCAGATTCAGTGCTGTAAAATGTTATCCTATTTTTGGTTTTGTGTTGTAACATGAACACACGCTCTAGAATTTAATTAACCCATCATGAAACTCGATTCACAATCAGAGCTGCAGGGTTTGAAGTTGGAGAGGGAGATACACAGGCTTGTGTCTTCCTTTTCTGCAGGCCCAAGGGAAAGCTGCAACTCCAGGAGCTGCTGAGCAGCCTTGGGGTTTGACAGGAGAGGTGCTACTGCAGCCCTGCTTTCTGAAGTGTGCTTCAGGACCTTTTGTGCTTTATGGAATCCTGATGGTTTCCTTCTCTATGTCTTGCACATTTGTAATTTAACTGCTGTCTCTGCATTTAATTTCTGTTTATGGTAGAAATAAGAATGGGAAATTAGAAATGAGGTGGGAAAAGAATCGTTATGAGTGCATGCTAGTATCTGTTTATTAGGGAATCAGAGTGGTTTGGGTTGGAAAGGACCTTAAAGATCATCCAGTTCCAACCCTCTGCCATGGGCAGAGACACCTTCCACTAGACCAGGCTGCTCCAAGCCCCATCCAGCCTGGTCTTGAACACTTCCAGGCATGGGAAGTCCACAACCTCTGTGAGCAAGTATCTCATATATACATCAGCAACTGCATCTTAAATAGTAAAAGGGTCTGTGGCAGTCTCAGGTGGGAATGGGAGAAGGAAAGGTGAGAGAAACTCATGGATTACTGCTGCTTAGCAAAGGTTTTCTGAAGGTTTCTCTGTACATAGAGTACAAGAGTTTAAATTTTTACACTGTGAGATTGATCTGATTTGGTAGAGGATGTATGTGCCTTCTGCTGTGGTTCAAAACTGGTTTATTTTATTTCATTTTACATTTACTATGATCCATCCTTAAAAGTCAGTATCCTCACACAGGGCAGTGCAACAATCTAAGAAGAGGCATTTAAAAAAATCCCACACAGGTGATGGGTTGACTTAAAGGCCATGGCACATCTGAAGAAAAGGAATCAATGAAGTGCAGAAGCTACAGAAAAAGAGACTTAAAAATTGCTCTCTGAATTGCAATTAATTTTTCAAAATAGAAGTGATTCTTCTAGCTAATTAGAAATAACTATTTTATATTGAATTGAGCTAAATGATAAGGAATCCGAGTTCAATTCACTTGTAGGAAGCACTTGATAGTTTGACTCCAAATCTAAACACTTAATTAAACAGAAAGCAGAGGAGAGCTCAGCTCTCTTCAGGTTGATGGAGACATTACCAAAGCTCTTCCCAGCAACCCTACCCTGTGTGTGAAGTGGAAAACTAACAAGGAGTTTACAGTCATTTTTTGGAAACACATAGAAAATTTTAGTCTGGAAAGGGCACATCTAGGAAATTGTAAGCAACTCTCCTGACTCATAAAAGGAGTTGTACAGAATGTTACAGTAACACTCAGGCCACAAGTTCAGTTTCCATTAGTTAAACAGACATTAAATGTGCAGGTAGGTGCAGACCCTGACCGTGCAGAGAGTACAACTCATGTGTCAGGCAGTGAAAACACACAGACAGCCCCTGGTTTTATGTTGATGTCCCCCTGCCTTTACCTGGCCATTGCCACACCATTTCTGAAAGACAAAATCTCGATGAGCCCCCCTAGCTCCCTGGGACAGCCCCAAGCAGTGTGTGGGGGCTGAGCACCACTGTGGGCTCTCACCTCATGAGTGAATCCTCCCTCCACAACCCTAATTCATATATATCACTTATGTTATAACAGCAGAGCCACCACAGCTAGGATGGAGGTATGTGGCAGCCCAAGGACTTGTGACAGACACTGGTGACACTGCTGAGCCTGTGGTGCTGAGTGTGTTGCAGTGGTGTCATCAGCACAGCTCAAACTTACCGACCCATACAGCTCGCCCCTCTCATTCATGCCGAGGTAGAGTCCAGAGTCCACCCCACGGATGCTCACCAGCCCCACTGCCAGGCTAATAAACTCCAAAATCCCTAAAACAGAAAAGAAGTGCAAATCATACAGAGAATAAAAACAAAGCCAGGATCCAGCAACAAACACAAACCAGCCTTTCCCAGCCCCTGCAGAACTTCTTAGAAACCGTTTCCCTTATAAATAACAACACAATTCTCAAATCTATAGTCCCATCTGCATGCAATCTTCTGATTTCCAGTCTGGGCTTCTCCCCAGCATTGTGCATTTGAGTTGCCCAAGAGGAATTACCTTTCCTAACAAGAAAATCTCTGTGAGGTTTTGTTGTTTTGGGTTTGGATTTTTTTTCCTGATTATCACCAAGAAGACAGATGTAGAAACTTGTGCTTTGCCACTAGAAATTTCAGAAGGCTGTTACCAAGCTGGGTTCTATTCTTCACCAAAAGGAGAGTGATTTTGGCTTCTGGATTGAGATGATAGTCCCACATGGTGTCAGATATTTTACTAATGAGATGCAGCCTCATTTCAACTGGCAAAGAAATTAGGGGATCTGCCTGCTGCACCCCCACTGCCAGTAAGGGGGACAGCAGCTGTGTCAGTGGGGGAGAGACTTGTAATAGAAGAACCCTTGGTGAAGCACTTAAAAACATACAGTCTCTACCCAATGTCACAAGTGGTGGGGACCTTCAAACTTCCCAGAAAAGCCTCCTGAAGACATTACTGGGACTGTGTTATTCTGGATATCACACACTCCCTAGCTAGAGGTCATGGGCAGCCTTTGCCCATGTCCAGTGCTGAGCTAATTAGCTGGGAGGTAAAGGAAGAGGGTTTTCCTCATCTCATCTAACAACTGGACATCTCCATTGATAGGAGGAGAAAGTTGCTCTAACCTTTAGTGTGGCTCCAGGTCACTTAATATAGCTCCCAAAACATCCAGTCCTGAGCAATTGCTGCTCTGATCAGGTTACCTCCCAGAGCTCCTCTTGAAAGTATGCCTGGGTCTAAAATCACCGCGTGACGAGCAGCCAGCTGAGCCAGCTGACTTCAGTGGCAGTTGCAGCTCCTGGTCACCCCTCAGCTTGGGGCACATCTCCTGCTCAGCCAGGTGTGGATGCGATAATGCTCGTATGATATTGCGTCACTGCCTAAATACAGAACAGGACACATGCCCATGGACACCTCTGTCCCCCTTTGCTCAGTGCAGACTCATCAGTCAGATACTGGCAGTCAAGGGAATTGGTCTTGCCACCTTCCATCAGACTTTCTGTCCTCATTTTGCCCTGCCTACTCTGGGGTTTGTGCACCGAATCCAGCCCTCCCTACTATCAGTGGGTGCTGGGGGAGATGAAATATAGACTTGGGATCAGCAAGTCCTGGAGACAAACAGGGAAGCAAATGGCACAAAACATGCTTTATGGACCAGTGCAGACATTTTACAGGCTGAAATATGTCCAGCTACACTCCCCAGCCTGAGGACACATCCTACCTTCAGAAACACCAGGAGCAGGAAGGGAAAGCAGCCCTTCCAAGCCAGGCAGGCAAGCTGGACCCTGTCTCTGCTTGCTTTTAGCTGAAAATAAGTCCAAACAGGGA